CCGTTAGTGCATGCGCCATGCTACGTCATTGCTCTATCACGTACGCACAGTCGCTTCGCGCAATATAAGGTTTGCTAGCTGTGGGACGAGTGGGAAACTTACTTTTGGGACGCGCCTCGTATAACCAAAGAATCGATCAATATGTAGCGATATGAGGGTTTAAGGTGAAAATTGACGTCAATTCTACACGTCATTATTTCATACTATGGACGGATGGACAGTCGGTAATTTAACATTGTATCAACTACAAACGATTATTTAACGTAGTTTGGTGTGAGAGAATTGTGTTGGGGTAAATTTACATTGACTGAAATTGTCAAGACGTATTTAAAAGCACAATCCCAGCATTTGCCTGGAGGGACTGAGGAAAACTTGAAGTAACTCGGTGAGGGTAAGGGATGTCCCGGCTAAAATTGACACTGGATACAGGACATAAGCCTTACCCCTTAATCGGTACTTTGCCGTGTGGGCCTTCGGTCCCAGGTAGGATGCGGTGGAAATGTACAGAAGGAAATGTTAAGGAAGGAGCCGGATATGACGACAGAGAAACTGTCAGCGTGTTGTACGGAAAAGCACGCAAGTCCTTCCTCCCGTGACAATAAGCGATTGAAGAAGCCGACATGTAGTGAAGCCGGTAATACAGGTAACTGGTTTCCCGGTCCACAAGTCGCAGCCTTTAAAAGAATTATTTCTCGCGTTGAAAATTACGAACAGATTCTGAGACTGTTATATCAATAAAAGTTTGCGAAAACAAGTCTCTTGCGTGGGTGATGTTTATTGCCCGTATTACACAGGTGTGGATCTGCAGAAACCGCCCACAGTTCTCTTTTTATGTCGCCGATTGTGTTACGTGATGTTGACGCCTCACTCTGTGTGAAACTAAAGTACCTTTGTCAGGAGACCAGCCAAGTTGATCAGAATTGAAGCCCCGACTTATTTCCGAGGGTATGATAACATGTTGCTCGATTGGGGCTGTCGCAAACCTCGAGATGCGATGACAGTGCCACGATCGTCACGCGGAAATGAACCCCTATCTCCGCGGTAAGAATCCATCGCCTAGCCGCGTGAGGCTGTCACAGACATGCATTAACATATTCTTCTTTTAGTGGTCTTCGCTTCGGACCTTGAACAGTGGTAGCCCCCAACTATTTACCTGAGACACGACTCGTGTCTTGCATGGATAATGTCAGAGGAAGGAAACCGAAAGTTAGGCGTGTGGGCTGGCTAATGGGAAGCGACTCGGACAACTTCCGTTTCACAGCGAATAAAAGGTAGTAGAAATTAAGACGAACCACCGTGCTACAGGGTGTCTATTCATCTGATGTCCGTTTACAACTCTGAAATACGTCAATATATGATGGCCATTGGTTTCGTTGACGAAACCTTAATAAAGGAGGGTAATTGTGACCGAACACGGCCTACCTAAAGAAACCTGAATAAAACCACGAAATGACTTCGGTCAGTCAACCGAATTCAAACCGGAAATTTTCAGTTTTCAAACCAGGAATGTTGAACACGAAAAATCCAGTCCGTACCTCGAAGAGAACACTTCACTTCACCGTCACAAAGATCAACTGGTTAACGCTGTTTAAGGAAATAATCGCTGTTTATTTTGAGAATCATACGAAACTCATAAATACATTCTGTACCTAAAATGCATAGTTAGTTATTATTAAAGCAGGTATTGGATTAAGATTACGTATTTATAGGGTCTATACGTACATGGAGCGAGGTCCTTCTTCAGTTCTTCAACTATTCAATAATTCCTAGACTGTTAAAGATCCTTAAGGTTCATTACCGTGTTCACAAAAGCCAGAAGGAAATTGAGTTATTTGGAGAAGATATTTTTACAAATGTGTACAGAAGTCGTACTCTTTTACACTTTCTCGTGCGGTCAGTTATAGGAGGAACATCTTGAGACGAGGTGTAAGAGATGCACTGAAACTTCAACAAGAGAACAAACAAACAAACAAGTCGCTGGGCATGATAGAACAGTGTGGATGGAATTTGCAATGCTGGTGAGAGGAAGCATGTCAGGTGGACCACGGCGGGCGTCAGACTGTCTGCTGAAGTCTTGCTCGCCAAGGTCGGCCAATCACAGCGCAGTGACAGACTTCCTGCTTCTTCAATTTGAATCAGATGAGCTTTAAGCTGGTCTCGCGCTCGCAGGTAGTCTAACTCGTTTCTGACATTTCTTAAACGAGTCAGGTATACAGAAAAATCTCCAGCGTCTCAATTCAACATACACAATGAAATGATTCAGTCTTGTGGTATTAAAAATTCTTTCGCCCTTTTGCGGCACTTCTACAGAACGGAAACTTCGACCTCGAGCAAAGCACGAATTCGCTGTCGTTATGGAAACAAAAGGTTCATTACCGCAATTTAAAAATCATGCGATTTCACTGGGCTTCACATTCTGTTATCTCTGTTATGTAAGGTCCGTTTTAATATTATCTTATTTATTTGTGGTTTATTTAACGACGCTATCAGAAGCCGAGATGAAAACACAATCGAATGACAGGATATCGAAGCTGTGGTGACCTTATTAAAGGTACTATAGCGGTATTCACTTGGAGTGACTGAGGAAAACCATATAAAACATCAGCCACGATAGACGGTCTGCATCCTGATGATAATGATGATGGAGGCCGACGAGTTCTCACTTCGTATAAGCTATTTCAGTAGACTCTTATGCTGGGTACTGCCCACTGTCCCACGTATGGTAGGTTTTATACACACGACGTTTCGGGAGTTGGGCTCTACTCCATTTTACTGCAGGGAAAATGTCAACGGCTTTGGTCGACATCTTGAACTTTTTAGTGCTATGGGGTGTTTAATGATGACCGTTCTTCTGAAGACTGGCTTACAAAACATTCACGTAATGTCATGTAAGCTTATTATATAAAAAAAGGTTGTAACTCCGAAGTGAAAGATGGATTAAAGTAGTAATAGATGTCTATAAATAACATGAAAGCTGCCAATAAACAAGAGACTAAGAAGAAAGAATCCTTTCATCGGAGGGTGTTTCAGGTTTATTCCGGAGCAGACAGAAACTTGTGGCATTCATACCAGGAACGGATTCACCCTCAAGAGGCGTCACTCGTCACTTGTCAGTGGAATAGTAGCAGGCGGGCAATGAGGAGTGTTTGGCTTTTACACTGACTTCAGAGTGTGTCAGAGTAACATTGGCGTCAATGTGAAATTATCATCGAACCAGGATGTGTGCAATGACCTTCAAAAAATAAATAAACCTTAAAGAACACATAAAGGTACTTAAAAAAAAAAAAGACGAGTTCTGCCCTTTCGAATAAAAGTGTTGAACAACTAAATTACGTTATGAATAAATAAATAAATAAATAAAACGATTTTAATAATGCTTGTGTGCCATGGGAGTAACAAAGCTCCCGGATGTGACTCCGCGGTGTTTACGTATTTGAAATATGCTTTGGAACATCTGGCGAAGTTCGGACGTGATCTATAATGCCTGTTAAGCAGATGAATGCTGTGGATGACCGCGCAGGTGCGGTTTTCACTGTCTTATCACATCGACAGTCACTGCTCTAGAATTGAAGCATTTCGGGGGGTGGGGGGGGGCCTCTCCCACGCAGCCTGCCTCCAAACAAGGAAGTGTGAATGCG